GTCTACAAGCTTGCAGAAAGTGCCAACATGATTTTCACAGCATCAGAGGGTGTGGGGAGGCTGAAGTAGAAATTCTGGCATTGACAGGTGCCGCAGTGGCTCAGGCAGGTGGTAGCCTGGTGGTGACAGGATGCAGGGAGTGGCACTGTTGTCCATATGCCTCTTGGCAGGGATGAAACAGGGTGCTGACAGGGGCCCTTGCTAGGACTTGATGGCTGAGTCAGGGCTCTGCAAGAACCTCTCCCTGTCTCCTCCTCCCACAGACCCACCTGTCCATTGCTTTGTGCGTCAGACAAAGCATTCGGCTTCGTGTGGAGAAACCCACGCGAGCCACCCAGCTGTGCATGTGCGCTGGAGAAGCATTCCTACTCCAAAACACGTATCAGGGAGTAGAGCTGAGTAGGTGGGAAATTGCAGAAGTGTTGTTTGCACCCCACCCCCATCTTTCTTGGTGAAGCTGGCCAATTTTCAGCTTTTGTGGAAGTTGGAAAGGAGGCCATTCACCTTTACATGGCCAAGCTGAGAAATACAAGCCTGACAATACAGGCCTGTGCAGGGAAATGGCTGTACACAGTGCTTTTGGCAGGGGAAAGATTGCTACACCGGTTGCGCACTCGCTGCAGTCAGACACAAGGTCTCTGTGTGGAAGTTCACTGAGGTGAGGATGGTCTCTGCCCAAGGGCCCAGCTGAGGGGACAGCAGTGGCCAATATGATGTAGGATCTCACCTCTAACAGTCGCTCTGGATTCAGAGGTCATGCTCCCTGACAGCCTAGCTGTGCTAAGGAACATGGAGGTCAGGGAGGTGATTTGAAACAGCCAGCAGGGCTTCACCAAGGGCAAGCCCCGCCTAATCAACCTAGTGACCTTCTATGATGGAGTGACTACATCAGTGGACAACAGAAAGGCTAAAGGTGTCATTTATCTGGACTTCTTTAAGGCCTTTGGCACAGTCCATTCACAGCATCCTTCTCTCTGAATTGGAGAGATAATGAATTTAATGGGTAGATTGTTCAGTGGATGAGAAATTGGCTGGCTGGTCATATCCAAAGGGGAGTGGTCAACAGCTGAATGTCCTGATGGAGATTGGTGAAAAGTGGTGTCCCTCAGCTGTCTGTATTGGGACTAGACTGTTTAATATCTTCATCAGTGACACAGACAGTGGGACCCAAGTGCACTCTTAGCAAGTTTGCAGATGCCACTAAGCTGAGCGGTGTGGTTGACATACCCGAGGGACCTGGACGAGCTCAAGAAGTGGGCCCATGGGAACCTCATGAGGTTCAACAAGGCCAAGTGCAAGGTCACGCACCTGGGTTGGGACAACCCTCAGTATCAATACTGGCTGCAGGATGAAGGGATTCAGAGCAGCCCTTCCAAGAAGGACTTAGGCGTGCTGGTGAATCAGAGGTTGGACACGAGCCGGCACTATGTCCGTGCAGCCTGGAAAACCAATTGTATCCTGGGCTGCATCAAAAGCAGTGTGGCGAGCAGGTCAAGGGAGATTATTCTGCCCTTCTACTCTGCCCTCATGAGATGCCCCTGGAGTGCTGTGTCCAGTTCTGGAGTCTTCAGTACAGGAAAGTTGTGGACCTGTTGAAGTGGGTCAGAAGAGGGCCACAAAAATGATCAGAGGGCTGGAAGGCATCTCCTATGAAGACAGGCTGAGAGAATTAAGGTTGTTCAGCCTGGAGAAGGCTCCAAGGAGACCTTATTGCAGCCTTTCAGTATTTAAAAGGGGCTTATGAGAAAGATGGTGACAAACTTTTTAGCAGGGCCCCTGTTGCAATAGGACAAGGGGTATTGGTTTTAAAATAAAGGAATGTAGATTCAGACTAGATATTAGGATGACATTTTTTACAAATTATGGTGAAACACTGGAACAGGTTGCCCAGAAAGGTGATAGATGCCCAATGGCTGGAAGGATTCAGGGTCAGGTTGGATGTGACTCTGAACAACCTGATGTAGTTGAAGATGCCCCTGCTCATTGCAAAGATGTTGGACTAGATGACCTTTAAAGGTCCCTTCCAACCATAGAATCTATGATTCTATGAAATAGATTTATTTCAGAAGCATTGTAATACAGCCTTGGTTCAGTAAGGGGAATACAGGTAACAGTGGCAATAGAAAAACATACTAGGCAATCAGGAGAAGAGGTCTCCCTCCTGTTGGCCGTGGCAGTGCTTCCCAGGATGCCATTGTAGGGCAAGGGTGGGTGAGGCACTGGGCTGGCACTGCACACACCAGCAGAGTTTCTACTCAGTCAAGGGGCTGGAAGAGCCAAACTGAATCTGACCTGCCAGCAAAGAGCTCACAGCTGCAGTACGTGGGGTAGGGTAGGCAGCCTAACTACGCAGAAGGAGGAAAGCAGGTTCAAACCATCCCACAACTGCTCTCATTTGCTTTAAGTTCTTTGTCATGAAGGGTTGCTGGCAAGGGCCTAGGTCAATGGAAAAACAAAGTCAAAGTTGCAATGGGGCTGGCCTGAGAATAAGAGTGAAGGATGGAGGAGAGCGTGCAGTGGGGCTGGAGTCAAGGGCTGCAATGTATAACAGTAATAGAGTCCAGCAGACGATGCTGCTGCACCTGTAGGTGGTCAGGGCTCCTGCCTATTTGAAAGGAAAGCAAGACAAGAGGGTGGAAGGGGATGCAGAGAATTTGCAAGAGAGCTTTTCCAGAGGCTCTGATTGATTGTTTGGCACCACAACAAATTTAACCAATCTCCACCTCAGGCATAACAAAGGAGAAATCACAGGGTGGGGAGCTGCAGCAGGGATGGGCAGAAACAATTAAGCCAGCTGCCATCAAAGAAAACTGGCTGAACTACCATAGGATAATGGTGGTGCCAGTACAGTACAAACTGCCAGTCACCAGTGGGTCAGAGATTTGGGGGAATGGTGACACCCTCTCCTCGGGGCCATAGCTGCAGTGCAGGAGCAAGGGCAGGTGCAGAGGATGTATAGGAGCTGTTCTGAGCAGCCCCAGACAGCTTGGGAAGACAGAAGAAGTTGGAAACCAAGAAAAGCAGCTTGGCTTTTCCCTGCAGAAAGGGTTAAGTATCACCCTGCTAAACACAGCTGCCTCCCCTGCCCAGGCCACAAAGTGCAGCAGTGGGAAGTTGACTTGGAGAAACAAATGACTAAAGCTGCCATTTCATCAGAATGCCATCTACTAGGAATAAAGAGGGCACTGATAGTGTCAGGGACTTCTCCTTGGCAGTAAACAGAAGTCAGGGGATATTTCAGATAAAGGAGAGTGTCCATAATTAGGATTGCACACCGTGTGAGAAGAAATATTCCAGCCAAACACATCAATCACAACTGGTCTTCCCTGCTGAGCCAGTCGGTGACTTAGCGCTAGTGAAGCCTTGGATCAGCTCTGGCTTTTTGATTTACAGCTGCCCTTGGTGTAAGTTGGACAGGGATTGGCACATTTGTTCCCAACCTATCTGGCTGCCAGGACACAGCAGCAACAGGGCAGTGTTGCCAGACTGCACCTTACCCAGTCCTGCTACCACACAGGAATCATTAAACCAACCTAAACTCATTTATAGCATGGCCACACACATAGTTGTGCTGGCCTACAAAGGATGACCATTTCTTTATTGAGACTTTGCCTACTTATCCAGGCTGAGAAGAACAACAGACACAGAACTCATGTTCTAGAAAAAGCTAACTGCTGGAATGAAACCCAATGTTTGAAAACTTGTAAGCAGGAAAAACCCCATCATATAGAGAGCTGCTTTCATATCCCCATTTGGGGTTTTACAGGCCTTTGCTTTAGCATAGACCAAGAAAAAGTAACCCCTTCTCCCATTTGAGGAAAACATATCTACGTTAAGGTGTTTTGCAGGTTTATTGGCATTCAGCATGGGGCTATTTCAATTTAATCACTAAAAGTGGTGAGACATGATAAAGGATAATTATTAACTGATCTCCATTCATACTCAGTATATGGTATGTGATTCACAGCACATCCTGGATGAAAGCCCATAGCTCAAGTTGTTCCATGAAACACAGTTCTAGAACAGAAGTAGCTATGTCTCCACAGTCTGAAACCACCACAACACTTGTGCCCCTCAGGATGACTGGAGGGGGATCCAGTGAGGTACAGCCTGAGCATCAACCTTCCTGACCCTAAGGGAGCAGCTTCATAAGTCTGTAGAGAGAACAATACACACTAATACACAGTTTTGTGTATACTTTTTCCTCAAGCTTGCTAGTGGACACATTCAGAAGACTAGCAGCAATTTCTTTTCACAACAGCGATTAAAAAGGAAAATGTGCTGCGAAGGCAGGAAAGATCAGGAGTTTGCCAGCAGAAGAGAATAGATAAATGACAGGGCTCAGCTCAGGCCCTCATGCAGGGACAGAGCTGACTCTAGGTATTTTCTCCCTCCTATTGCTTGCACCTGCTCCCTGTTAGGATTTCACTAGTCACAGATAAACCAGCCAAGCCACCCAAACCCACTTACAGCATGGACACACACAGAGCTGTGCCAGCACCTATAAGAAGTGTCATACAACAGCATGAAGAAAACAGCACTGAGTGCAATCTCTGTCCTAAGGATACCTGTTCTTTCTTATGCTCCTTGGAAGAGTAGTTCCATTATACAAAAACAATGAGGCTAATCCATTTGTACTAGTGTAGGGAAAAAAGAAAAGTAATTCTAGCAAGGTCAGTGGTGGGAAGTGACCCAAAACAGGAAACACACAAAACAATATAGCTACGGTCTTGCACTGCATGCACCTCTTCCACCTTCAGGTTCCCCTGCCTGCAACAGCATACCCCTCCCACAAACACATACTGCCATGCACTTGAGAGTTACCAGTGTATCTCCACTGGACTATGGACAACAGAATTAGGGCATCAATGCTCTAGATGGGAATGAGGGGTGTGCAGGGGCTATGTGCACTTTGGATGTAGATCCCTACTTGAAAAAGTTCCATAAGTTCCTACTGAACATCTCACTAGCATTCACATATAGACTCTCACTTCACTGAGAAAGGTTGAAGTGTTTGCCTTTTATTCAGAAAACTTGCTCCATTTCCAGTAATACTTTCCCATGTCCTTGAAACCAGATAGCCTCTAGTCTCAGAACAGCACCATCAGTCAAGTACAAAAAAAGCAGAACAAATCAAAACCAAAAAAGTTCCATGATGTGATATAGCATAAACACATACAACTAATACATTAGAGAAATAAACATCTACATTAAGTTATGTAAGTTCCTATAAAACTGGCAGTATGCAATTAAAAGATCAGCAAGATTATCAGGTCTGCTAGATGTTTAAAGCAAGCCTACATAGGCTGTATCTATATTCCCATGCTGATTTTAGGCATGACTTTGCACTCAGGATCTAGCTACCTTTCATACAACTTCCTCTACAGCCATCAGTGTGTATGCAAGCATCCCAAACTACCTGGCCAGACTCAAGAAGCACTTGCAAAGCTGTAAAGATGTACCCTATTGCTGTCTCCTCCATATGAACATGGTGTTACAGGGTTCATCTGCATATGCCTGGTTAAGAAACAAAACACAATCAGTTGCATACTATAACACCTTAAGTAACATGGAATCTTAGATTTTAGAAAAATATTTTAATCGTCAGTTCACAAGTAAAAACTATCACTATTACAAAACATCTTTTAATACTAGAATATCTAGCTTGGAACGAATTTTGTTCTTATTGCTGTTGCATTTAGTTTTCATGGGTCAGCATGAAGGTAAGTGGTGGGCTTCCCACTTGTCAGTCAGCTTGTAAGGGTACTCATAGGAAAGTGTACTTTCCTATTTAATCCTCACGGAATTTTCACATGTTTAGGCTTCCCTGACTTATTCCAGACATTTACATACTTTACATCTGATACTACACATCAAAGTCTCACCCAACTGTGTTTCATGTAACAAATTTCATTTGCAGCCTCTAAATAAAACCTTCACTCCAAAAAGAGTGAGCATCAGCACTGACACCACCTTAGCTACTTGAAAACCCTATAACTGTGTTCTGACAGCTATCAGATATCAACTCATTCATTTCATTTTGTTTGGTTTCTTCCTTATTCTCATGGTTGGGTTGCTGTTTTGAATTTCCAGCTTTTTTAGACCTTCTGAGGAAAAACTTTGTCAGTAAGTAACATAATTCAGCCACATTTAACAGAATGCAAATGCTGGACACAGCAATCATGAAAATAGTAAACACTGTCTTTTCAGTAGGTCGAGAGACAAAGCAGTCTACCGTGTTGGGGCAGGGCCAAGCACTACACTTCATCAAGCGAGGCATTCGGAACCCATCATACATGAAATAAAACGCATACATGAAGACAGCTTCAAAGATCAGTCTGAAAAAGATGCTGCTGGTGTACGTCCACCACAAGGAGCCCTCAATACGAAACCTCTGTCTTCGGATTTCTTCAATGTCCTTGTATTCGCACTTCTGGTCTCCCTTTCTGAACTGCCTTTTCTTCTCATGCCTCCTGTAGGCCACGTGCATGGCCACCAGCAGCGCAGGTGTGGAGACAAAGATCAGCTGCAGGGCCCAGAGTCTGATGTGAGAGATGGGGAAAAAGTGGTCATAGCACACATTTCTGCAGCCAGGCTGAAGTGTGTTGCAGACAAAGTCATCTTGTTCATCTCCCCAGACTCTCTCTGCAGCCACAACCAGGATCATGATACGGAAGATGAACAGGACTGTGAGCCATATCTTCCCGATACTGGTGGAATGCTTATTTACACCTCCCAAAATGGTATGCAGAGCTCCCCAATCCATTGTCTTGTTTCAATCCTCTGACCTAAGACAAGACAAATAAACAAAACTAAGATTAATCAAGACAGGAAACAAATACCATCAAGCATGTAGTTTAAAATAAAGGCAATATCATAATTGTACCATACCCATGTGGTAACATTTTGATGCAGTGGGCTTGCCTACAACTAGTCATAAATAATAATCTAATCACATATCAGCAGGTAATAATTCATTACTTGATTATACACATGGCACCACATTCATTTGACTTCTAGGTGTATTAGCCAATGCCACATTAAGTAGGAAAAGCAGATGGGAACCTGATGAACACAGCCTTAAATCAAAAGATACAACTTCTAGCAGCTGGATAACAGTTACAAAATAATAGAAGATATCAGCCAGAAGTAAGGTAGATGTTATGTTAAAAAGTAACGTGTTAGACAGATATAATTCCCATATAAATCAAGGCAGATTGGTCTATCCTTAGCTTAGAGTGTAAATAATGTTCAGATGAGTACATTCCAGCAATAAAGACAGACCTTGAGTAACTCCTGCTGATGCTCTGCACCTTCCATGAGGTCTAGATAACCTGCATTCATCAATCTAAAAAAATGTGACTGTATTCTTAGTTGAAGCAAATTCCACAATAGCTTGAGGCCATGAAGGTAAAGTCTTGGTCATTATCCATCTTGAGTTGGATGTTTAAAATCAATGCTTAAAGATTCATACCAAAATTGCTTTCTCTCCACTAACTACAAAAAGGGCATAGGGTAACTAGACAAAGACTCCTTCATTGTCAATGCCTGTCAGGTTATTTTTCTCCCCCCGCCCCCTCTTAACACAGACTGCATTACTCCTAGATTAGCAAAGACATTTCAGAGGCTGGTAGAGTACTAAAATCAACATTTGAAGAGTTCAGACAGGTCAGCAGTAGCTCAGAGACTTTTCAACAGAAGCATATAGATTCCAGTGCATGAGTTTCAAAGTACTATGACTGTAATTCACAGCGACCATTCAGAGGCATTTCATTTCAGCCCACCTCCCCTGCTCTGCATCAGATGGATTTACAGAAAGTTAGTTTGCAAGTACTCAGTATTCAAGAATCAGCCAGGACCCTCCAGGAGTGCTCACAGATCTCTTGGCTCTGAAATTCCTCATGAAGATTTTTATTTCACAGCTTCATTAATTTGTTTGCATCTCAGAGACCACATTTCTTTGGCATTTACAGCACAAGGCACCAATAAGCAAAATCACGTTTTCTAAGTTTCTAGAACAGAGCAGCTACTGGCACAAAGGCCATCATATCTATCACAAGATGATCGCATTGCATGAGGAAGAAAATTATGACAGTTCTTGCAGTTGTCTTCCATGTCACACTCCCTTCTGAGTAATGTCAAAAGCCTTCCTGGTTTACAGTGAGTCTATATATCATCAGTAGGTCACGTACAATTATACAGAGCATCAGCCGAAGTACACAACAGCCCAGAGAAAATGAGGGCACTTAATTGTTACATTTGGTAATGCAACAGTATTTTTTCCTTGAGTTACTGGAATAAAAGTGTGATCTCCCTTCACAAGTTCCATAAACTACATTTTCCTCAGATCCTGCTGGTTGACCGTGTGGCGTTATACTCCAGGACGTAAAAACCAGTTGTTCTATCTTCTTCTCCCTGCCTGTCAACCACCTTCTCACAGTGTGAAAAGGCTGAGAAGTGGAACCTGCGTATTCCCTCCTCATAAGCCCTGTTTCTTAGCTTCACCTCTCACCGCACATCCAATACTGCTCCCCTTTTGTTACAACCTCACATGGATTTGTTTCCTCCTTCCTGTCTCCCTGTGCAGAAGGAGGTTCAAAATACGAGTGCCCCAGTATGTAGTTAGTTAGCTCAAGAAACTTCTCTACCCCTGTTTGCTCCTGAGGTCACACTGCAGTTCATCTCCTGTGACTCTGTGAAGGTGCATTATAAACCAGGTGACTTAAGTTCAGAAGTTATTCCCAGGACTAGTATGTTTTGCTTGTTTTTTAAACCTGATCCATTTCACTAACCTGCTCTACAGCACAGAGCCACAGAGCATCTGAAAAGGCAGCTTTGTTTAAAAAAACAGGCTGCAAATTGTAACGCAGAATGAGCAGTCAGTGGGGAAGAGGGGTTGGCAAAGCTTTAGTGCTGAGGACAATACACACTTTTCATCTGACTTGCTCCATCTCCTTTGAGAGTACATTGTGCTTGTTAAGCCAAAACACTGTGCTTCAATTCTAGCAAAGGCATGTCCGCGTCTGTATCAATGAAGAGAAAGCCACCACACTTTGAAGAAACAGCCTTTTGCCCTGAGTCTCCTAGTGAGATTTCCCCTCCCTTCCAAAGAAAGCCTTTGTCTTTCACCTCTGCCCAAACAGTCACCCCTTCACCCTTCCCACACACCTTTTCAAATCTTCCAGCTATCTCTTCAGCTCCTCCTGCCACCATCCACTATTCTTCCCGCTGCTTGCCGAGCTAGTCACCAACCTTTGCCCCTTCTTGCTTATGACCTCTCAGGCTTGTTTTGACACTGGTGGAGAGTCATATGACTTCTGGAAACACTCCAGAGTGCTACAGGCACTGATCAGATACCAGTGAAGTCTCACTATCTGCTCCCTGAAGGCTGGCACAATTATAATTGTAGGGCTGTATTCAGGCAGCCTGAATTCCAACCAACAGTGTTTCCTACCAGCTGGCTTTAAACAGTTCTCCTCAATGCAACTTAGAGGATTCCAACAAAAGTAATTCAGAGACTGCCAGTGTCCACCTCTCTCCAATAAAAAGACACAGTGATCCAAGCAGAATTTAAGTTAACCAAGTATGGCCCTCCAAATTATTAACCCATCAGTGCAGATCACTCTAGCTAAACATCCCATTTGGACTATCTGTACTGATGTGATGGCTCATTTACTCCTAACTAACTCAAAAGCTAGGACGTGGATCATAGGTTCTTTCTTCCAGGTACTTCTTTTATTTTTTACTAGCAAGTAAAATGTTAATTGCCTTGCTGACCAAAGGAGAAGAAAGCAGGAAAATTACATCCCTTTAATGGGTTGATAACTCTTATTTTTATAGAGCCAGTCCAGATAATATTTCTATGGGAGCAAATCCTGCCAAATGCCTACAGAAATAACAGTATGCAGACAGTCAAGGACTTACTCAGTTTGCTGGTCTTAGATGTACAGCACAGTACAAGAATACATTTAAGATATGAAAGCTTAGGTGAATTTTTGGGGAGAAAATGTAAAGTAGGAATGAGGATAGGGATTGGTTATAAAGAAAGAAGCTGGGAAAACAGGAGATACTTGAACTTAGTGAGGTTGAGTAACAAAGCATTTAGAATATTTTCTAACATGGGAGTATATTAAGTGTTAAATTTTCCTTCAAAAAATTGCAACTGGGCATGAAAATAAAGCCTTTCCAAGCCTCAGCACAGATCCTTGTTCTACTACCAGTGGCACATTCTGTTTTATTTCAACAACTAGAGGACCACAGAAGTATATGGCTGTTACAGTAGGAGTTAAAAACACCCAAAGAAGATCACCATGCTCCACTGAAAAGTTAAGTTACACGGGAAATGGTTCTATACAATCACACAACAGAGTCACATAAGTAGGTGTTTCGTTTGGGGTTTTATTTTGTTGTTAGTTTGGGGTTTTTTCCACTGGTAAGCTAGGCAGCAGCAAGAGAAGAACTACAGCTTAACTATTTCTGTAGTTCTACAGCTTCTGGGCAGTATTTTGAGCTGTGTGCTGCCATGGCTAGACTGCCTTCTACTTTAAAGCTAGCTCCTGTAAGCCTATATTAAACCACAATCACAGCAAGCTGAATACACCCAGTGAAAATCCCTGCAATTCACAAAACAGAGGACAATTACCACTGAGCTCCCATGTTTATGAGTACAGCTAGCTTGTTAACAGACACTTCCCACCCCCACCCCCCTTAAAGACTGTTATACTAGGAAATCATTAGTCAGTGGCTAAATCCACAACTAGAATACAGGGAAAGTAAAAAAAACAACACAAGATACATCTCTTTCACATACACATATGGTGCTGGCTGCTACAGGATATTATCAAGCAAAAAAAATTAGTAATTAGCAAGTATTACAATATTTGGTTATGCTGTAGGAATATCCAGGAGCCCTGTTAAAGAAGAGGTCCGCAGAATCCTTATGCATAAATTCAGAGCACGAGTATACTCTTCTCCCCACAGCTACAATTTGGATACCAATTTACTTACTTTACTGGATTTACACAGAAACTTAGAGGGTGTTCAGCATGGCTCCACTGCTATCAGAATTTTAGTGCAGAGTGTACCAGGAGTTACCAGTTTGGTGTGACATTCCACCCCTTTCAGCAGCCCCTCCAGATGCTGATACAAGATCAGCAATCTGCCAAATCAAAAGTCACTTTGTCCCATGTGGGAATGTGTTAACCAAGATAGTCTTTAAGCAAAAAAGCACTGGTCTCAAGTGTCACTTGCCAGCCCCCAAGATGGGGACAAAGATAACTCAGATGCCTAAGAGTGGCAGTTCTAATACAGAATTTTTAGAAATGTTAGAAAACATTTAGAATATCTAAACTATCAGAGGTAAAATCATTACCAAAATTATTTTATGACCCAATTTGAAACAAGAAGTATTGCTGCACGCTGAGGTCCAGCACGCATTCAAAAATGCTTCTGAGACAGCATTTCCTTCAGGTCTTGATCTCAACAGTCAGACTGGGAGCACTGACTCACATAGGGGCTGATAACCAGCATCAAGGTGTCCTAGAGTTGTATATGCTGTTTCATTACCCAGATTTGAAGAACATTCAAATCTGGATTTCAGCAGTTTTGCATCAGCATACCTCCACCCTGCCAACCTGGCATCTAGTTTACAGCAAGTACTTAAATGTTAGGGTGTAGATTTTGTTATTCTGATTACTGAGTAAGTTTTGGTGCTATACCACAAGAACAGCAGCACTGCCAAGACCAAAGCAAGGCAGCTTCTAATGAATACAGATTAACATCTTCCAAAGGCGGCATCTTTTTGTTTCATCAAGAAAGGCTGGTACACAGGCCACAGCAGCTACTTGCTAACTTGCTCAGACTTCCTAACTAATCTGTCAGTCTGCCCCATGCCTCAGTTTCCCAGACATTAAACTAGCAATAACAATCTCACCATCTCACAGGGCTGTTCTGAAATGCTCCACTACAATTACAAGCTTCACAGGCTCAGTGGACCAAGAAAGATAAGTACCATCTCAAAGCTAGAAGCGCAGAGCTTGAATTCAATCATCCAGGGTATTTCTGATACCTGGAAAAGAATGCAACTCCCTGCATTGCTGTAGCTTTAATGCAGAGTTCAAAATGCAGACAAAGCTTTGAACTTTGACTTTGGCAACCAAAATCCTTTAATAGGCAGCTTGCAGGTATTCTAATTTTACAGAAGTGTATATAAAAACTTCAAGAAGCATGCAGCTGGAAGGCTCTGAAATATCAACAACTTTACTTCTTTCCTAAAAAGCTGAATCAAGATCAAAAGACAAGTCTAACAATCACAAAAGCCTGTGCAATTCTCTCTAGTAGCTCTTACACTTTGTTCTGAACACCTATCTCCAGATCAGAGTGGAAACTGGAGAGCAGAAGAGCTGTGACAGAGGGATTATAGTATATCTGATTTGACACAAGAACAGGCAAAGACTAATCAGGAACAGGAAACCTGACAGTTGCAGGCCTGAACACTGCAAGCATTGTTCTGTCATTCTACTCAAGTTTATGGAAACAGGAGGCATTCTTTGCCCTAATTAAATTCAGTGTGAAACCCAGAGAAACCCAACAGACTAGGACCCAATATGTATGTAGTTAAATGTTATAAAAAAAATTGCGTTAGTTAAATATCAACACCATTAAGGGTTCAGTTCTACCCACAATAACCCCCTGATGACTGTCCCATATTCATGCCCTCACATAAGTTTTAAGTCATTTTCCAAGAATGCTGGGAAATATCCATAGCTATTTCAATAGCCTGCAACTGTAACTGGAGGATCACCATCTTCCAGAACATCCCTGCACAACATTCATTCCATTCGTACAAAACAGGAAATCAGAAGTGTCAGTCTCACTTGAAGGCATAACAAGACAGCACAAGTCCTGTTAGAAATTAGCCCATCTCAGCCATTTTCCCCTGTAAATCTTTCCTTCAAAATGTGCTTAAAGCTTTTTGCTTTGGACAAAAACCAAATTCCCGTGGACTGTGTCTTCACTGATACAAGTTTCCTATTTCCCAAATTTTAAAGAAAGTTTTAGGGATACTGTACCCTGCTCCCAGTCATCAAAAAGAACTTTTTAGTTATGACACTTATGTTGCTTTTTTTTTTTTCTAAAAGCCTGTTACTTAATTCCTATTTCCTTTCCCCTACACCTAGGCAAAGGTCTACATCCCCTCTACAAATCTGCCCACTCCTGCTTCAAATGTAACATTTCCTATAAAACTGGCAAGCCACTATCTTCTTTCACACACGCAGAGAATTTGCACCCTTTCAGAAACACTAATTGAATTTATAAACATTAAGATTTTATACTGCAGTGCAGCTTCTCCTTGAGCGTGTATTTTGTTATTTCATTCATCAAAAGACAAAAACAACTTTTTCCTTTTTAAAAGTCTATTACAGGAAGAAATGCTGGTAGAAGATAAGGAATAAAATTAGTTTTCAACATTCTTTTATCAACTAATAGGAGATATGTTTCTCTTTTTCCACATTCCTTCTGTTTTGAGAGCATGTTATCTTGCCTCATATATCATCACTTCAAGTTTTTCCTTACACAAACTGGTGTTTAGCCAGGCAAGAGTCACAGTTCTCCTTTCAGATAACTCATCAGTCATCATTAAGTAACAATTAAAAGCAGTGAGGAACAGAACAAGAAAAAACATCAAAATTAGATTTGACCCATGTTCCTGTTTCATGCAGGAACCTGTACCAGCAGTCTCTGGTACCACTGCTTTCATTGGAACTGTTCACAAGAATCACCTTGTAAATGCACCCTCTTTACTCACAGGCAGCAACTGAGTTTATGCAATGACTGTTAGGAAGAACTTGTATATGTATCTCGAAGTGCTGCTATTTGTCCAACTACTGAGATAGCCTGCTTTACCTTTTCCCTTGTAAAGTTACGTCTTTGCACAAAATAAATGAGGCTGCCAAAATAATCTACCTGGATTGTACATCAAGGGATGCAAAACACCAACACTGTCAGAGGCCACAGAGGCCCCAGCTTCAGCATAGAGAGCTAGCTGTGTCAGGACAGAATCAATTTCTCCAGAGAAATATTTTAATTCATGGGTTTTATTGTTCCATTCTTAAGCTCTGCAATGCGTAGTCCTACCGATTACGAGACTGACAGTTCTGGGGACTGTCTGAAGTCTCCCAAAAACACTGACACACAAAGTAGAGATGTAACCTCATGGCTCTGCAAAACATGTTGGAAAGCCCACCTGGAAAACTACATTGCAATGCCTAGTTGACAGAAAGAGGTACCTCCATTTACCAGGCTGAGGTTTGTCCCATCACTGCCTTGTTCTCCAAGCTACATCTAACACAATCACATCCTTCTGCCTACTGCCTTTTCTC